AATAGATATTGGTGAATGCATTCAAATCTTTTCATTTTTCACATCCCTATTACATATGCGTAGCCCTACAAAGTAGTGAAAATGCAAATTTTTGATAAACTGCTCTATCCGAAAGTAATTTGAATACTCTATAAACGCAAAAGCGGGTATAGCTTCTTCTTTCATATTAATAAATCTGGACCTTACATTTCTCTTATGACTTTTCGATCACCTTTTAAGTAGTTTTAAAGTTGCTCGGCAACTCGAATCAAATGCCAAATTTGATAGTTTATTTGTATACATATGTGTTAACAGAATTCAATATATCGAGTTTAAAAATGTAAGAAGTTATAAATATTTTACCTCTACGTTCTTTTAAATTTTTTAAAATTACAATTTTGGGCTCCCTATATTTCTTCGATAAGAATAAATTTATGTAAGTTAATTAGCAATCATATCCTTTATACTATCATTAGTTCTTCGAGATTTATTATTCTAAGATTTCTCCCAAATTTTATGCTATTGCAAAATTATATAGTATGTAATAAAATAATCGAATTATTTTAAGAGATCGTTTTCATTACACCGAAACTAAAATTATTAAAGGTGAATGTGCTACTTTATAAACCATGAATTTGCCAACTCAATTTTTTAAACATTTCTTTATCTTTTATACTAAAAAAAAGACCACAAAATGATCTGAAAATTATTTAAATGAGTTTAGTAATAAAAATTTTAACAACAATAAGAAAAACAAAAAATACAAATAAAAATAATAAACGTATAATTGAAAGGATCCTTTTATCCTTTTTATTTTTAATTTTTTTTTATATGTATCCTTCATTTCCATCATTATTGTAACCATCACAAAATTAAGAGTTATTGCATAATTCATAATTTTTCAAAAAAGAAAAAATACAATATTTTTCTTATGCAAATTTCGATCCCAAAAATTATTTTCAGCAGCTTTAGCAAAAAGGTGTTGATTTGAAAAAAAAAAACAAAATTTTTGATTTTAATCTTAAATGCATAAAATATATAGGTAAAATTTTCTTTGTTCTAAATTTGAAAATTTTGAATCCTTTTTTCTCGTCTTTCTTCTAATTTTTGCTTTCTCTATACTTACATAGTTCAAAAGGTGAAAAGAAAATATTTTTCATGTAAAATAAATGAGAAGAGCCTGTGACACTGTTGTTTACTTTATACTTTTTATGCTAAAAATAAAATTAAAATAATAATTGTAACAATTCTTGTAGGAAAAATAGTAATGATTTGATTTATTCAAAAATTTTACCATTATTTAAAGTGAGTTTATAAAAGTTTAGTTTATAAAATCTAAAAATTTCTATACAATATTTAAATTAGTTTTCTGAGAAAATAAAGGATTTTATCTATTATTTGATGTCAATTTATTTGAAATTTTATAAGAGCATCAGAACATGGATAAGGAACAGACAATAAAATTCTTGCATAAATAAAGATCAAACAATAAATTTCTGTTTCATTTAGGTAATTCTGTTCTCACGAAATTCTATTTGTAATATAGGGCGAAAATTCTAATGATATTATATTTGCAAATCATACTAAATAAAATCATTGTGGAACTCATTTGAATGATGATTTATTTTAAATTAATTTAATTATTAGAAGGGTTTTCCTTTTGTTTCCTGGAAAAAAGGAAGAGCGAATTCTCTTAAAATTTATTAATAAAACTAAATTTTATTATTATATTTGCGAAGTTTTGTTTTAGGATACAACTAATTTTTTGAAATAACAAAAAACATATTTTCAAGTTTTTATATTTGTTTTTACTCTAAATTGCATCAATTTTTTTAATACACAGCAGAATGAAATGGTAACAGAAATAAATGAAAGCAGGTAATATTTTCCAAACAATCCAAATTCTAAGAGGGCTTACACTGTTATATTTTGCTATACCATAATTTTTATTATTGAAATCAACGTACTTTTATATGTTCGTGTTACCTAAAATATTTCCACTATTTTTCAAAACTTTCAAAATTTTTTGTCTTTTCTTTTTTTTTGATTTTATCCGTAAAGACCTTTAACCTTAAAACAATTAATAAATATTTCACTTGGTATATAAGTAGTAAAAATTTTCAATTATATTTCCAAAAATTTTCTAGTTCTTTGTTACAAAATTAATTTCGCTTATGATGGTTTTGCTTTGGAACATAAACCACAATTATTATTGAGGAAAAAAACTTACAGGAAAGGAACAAAACTAAAACCACCAACTATATTTTTCTATAATTATAAAATAAACGGTTCTTTTGTAAAAAACCAATTTGATTTGATAATTTAAAAGGATAACATTAAAAAGGAAACGGTTTCCTGTTTGTGTTTTTAATTTTTTTTAGTTTTTTTTATGCTTTAAACAATAACAAAAGAATGTCACTTTTGATTATTGCACATATATAAACAAGAACAGATATAGCAAAGGATTTTTTATTTCAGTTTTGCTCTATATTAATATTAAAAGGGTAAAAATATAAAAAGGACATAAAATTGAAAAAAAAAAACGTAATGTAATTTTTATTTTCACTTTAGGAATATGTATGCTCTATAAGTTTTTCATTCCCTAATCATCCAATATTGATTTTCAAAAAATTTACAATCTTAGCAAAATTATATTTGATTGCAAAATAAAAATTTAATTTTAGTTAAAAAACTCGCCCCGCTAACGATCTCCGCAGGAGATGCTGCAACGAGGAGGAGGAAAAGGCTCATTTTCTTTGCTTTACCAAATTTTAGCACGAGGACAAGGTGGCGAAAGTAAATACCAGAACCTTAAACATGTTTATAAAGGACTTAAATTGGTTCAAATGATTGTAAGGATATGGAGATCCTGCGGTATCACAACTGGCCTATATGGTTTATGTGTATTCTATGATAGCCACATTATCTAACCTAAGCAAATTAAAAGCCTGATTTGTTTTTTGCAATTTTAAAAATATAATTCCATTTCCATAGTGTTAGAGATTATTCTTAATAAAGACCAATTCAATTGAAAGTATGTAATTATATAATGTAATTATACGTTATACAGTGTGTATCTTATTAAATAGCCTAAAAAACAATTTTATATCCCGCAAATTATAAACACAAAATATCTTATATTGAACGAAAATTTACTGAATTCATGCCCCATAGAACTCTTCATTGAATAGCATTCCCATTATAAAGGTTCAAAGGCACTTAATTTACTCAAAATGCCTGATATTACAAACATAATGGCAATTTTATTAATTTCAATAACTCTGAGCACCTTTTTAAATAGTGTGTGCAGGTAATAAATAAAATACTTCGAAAACACAAAATTATTTTTATACTGCTACTCTTTTGTTTTTCCATGCATATAATAATATAAATACTATCACGACACTATATGTATACTTGTACATATTTATTTTATAAAATGATAAAAAAGGATTTGAAGGTCCTTTTGATTATTTGTTCCCTCACTTTTTCATTGTTGTGGTTGCATTTTATTGCACTGCTTAGAAATTTGTTTTTTTTAATTTTTTTTTTTATTATTTTTCTAATTAATTTTATTTGCCTGTATATATATATTAATATATATATAATATTTAATTCATTGCTGCACCGCTTTATTCAACGTTTATTTCGGAAATAAAAACATTATTCAAAATAGTATTGTAAGCATAACCTAGAAAAGTTGTGAATTAAAAAAAAATTGTTGAGAAAAGTACGAAAATTGTTTTTAATTTTGGAACGTGCTTAGGTCATGGTACACCACATTTACTTAGTAATAAATTTTAATTCTTATTTCCTGAATTTAAAGATTTTTGTGTGTGTGTTTTTTTTTTGGTTCTTAGCCCCATATAATACGTTGAAAAATGCTGCTCATATCTAAAACGAAAAATTTAGTTATTTATCATAAAATTATGAAAAAAATAGAAAAAATTTGTTTTATTTAAATAAGTCTCTAGAATTTATGAGACGCTCGCATGAACTTTGAATATTAAATGAAATGTTGTTGTTTTGATAATATGTTGAGAAAGTAGAAATTTTTACTTGTCTTGGAGCCAGTATTAAGTTCATTTTGTTGTGATAGCCTCAATTAAATATTGAAAAAATATTGAAAATATTGAACAATCTGCGAACCATTTGTGCATATTTTGCCATGATGAAGATAAAACGTCTGCGTATATTCTCTGCTTTTGTAAGTCATTGGCCAATAAGCGATTGGTTCTCGGACTATTATGGCTGCAGTAACCTGGTTTGAGATTGATCCCTACCAATTTACAAATCTAATCAAATATAATCAACAGAAAAAACTATCATTCTATCAACATCGCAAGATTAGATTTGCTTCTATCCGAGCTTTCATTAGATTTTTAATAAATTTTTAAGGCATACTGGCGCATATTAACTTTCATTTAATTTGTAACACACTCGATACTCTTATATCACTATCTCTTTTCATCATAATGCAATTATACTATTATAATAGATTTTTTACTAAATTTCACTTTCTGTTTGCTGTAGATTTAAATTTATTTCCATAAGTACTTACTTTTATTAAAACTCAAATATAAATAGTAACTATTTTTTACAATCTCATAATAGTAAAAAAAACATAAATGAAAATATTAAATTCAAGAGACATCATAGTCTTTACACCATAAATTAATCAAAACTCTGTCCAAAAGGTGATATAAGAACTAAACAAATATGCATAATTATAAACTGATAAAATATTAAAATTTACGAATAAGTTATAATTGTATCTCTCTAGTACAAACTCTAAAAATGTTACTTTTAATCTTGCATACATGGAAGATAATAAAATTCTCATAGACTTCACACATATTAAGACTAAAAACATAATGTGAATGAATATAACGATGGCTGTGATGAGGTTCTTATCTTTATGAAAAAATAAATCTTTATTATAAGATAAAACTAATTTTTTATGGTTACTCTTATTCAAATTAATAATCTCAATTCAGTAGCACTGGCATTCATCAACGGTCTGTTCGAGGATTTAAAACATTTTTTAATAAAATTATATATGGTATAAGCGCTCAGTTTTATTGAGTCTATTGATTATTCTATTCCTCCTGGATTCAAATTGAAAAAAAAAGAAAATCAAATGACAACTGCAAAAAAAATGTATCGTGAAGAGCCACCGGAAGGTGGTTGGGGATATTTAATTGGGTTGGGTATGGCATTACCATTTGTAAGTTAGAAATTATTAAAAATAATTATAATGCTTTTTAAAAATAATTAACTTTTAATAAAAAGATCAGTGCTCTAGGATGTATGCCTTCATTTGGTTTAGTTTTTGGTGATTTTTTACATAATCTTGGTGAAAAAACTAGTGCAATTGCTGTTGTTACAAGTTTATTTTTTAGTTCAATGAGTTTTGCTGGCCTTCTAACTAACACACTATTTCGAAGATATTCAATTAGAACGGTTGGTCTAATTGGTGGTTCATTATATTTTTTTGGATCACTTTTACAAATTTTTGTACAATCAACTTGGCATTTAATAATAGCATTTAGTTTAATACAAGGTATTATAAAATTTTAAAATGAGATGCATGTAAATTGGGATCAAATAAATTAAAAAATATTTATGTTATAAATTTATAGGGGCTGCCTTTGGATTAATGATTCCAGTTGCTTATACATCATTTAATGCATATTTTGTAAAACGTCGTGTTTTAATGATGAATATTGCACAAACTTTAATTGGTATTGGTACTATGGTTTATCCAATGGCAATGAGATTTCTTTTAGATTCATTTGGATTTCGTGGTTGTTTAGCAATTTTAGCAGCATTCAATGGTCATGCAATTTTTGGTATGATGGTTATGCATCCAGTTGATTGGCATATTAAACGTATTGAAATTGATGAATGTGAATTAAAAGAAATAATTAAAAAAAATCAATTAGAAAATCAAAATAATTTAATTATTAAAAATGATTTAGAAGCAGCAAACGAAGAAAAATCACATTTAGAACCATTAATGGGAGATGAAAATTCAAAAAATAACATTAATGAAAATGGTCTAAATAATCATGAATTAAAGAGAGATTCAAAAAGTAATTCTATGGCGAAATTAAGTAATAATAATTTAGAAAAAGTAGTAGAAAATTCAATTGATAATAAAAAATCTATGGGAATTTGGTAAGTTAATCGCCCAACATTATTTAAAGCAGTTCAATTAATTATTTTATTTTAATAGGGAATATATTGTGGACTTTTTAGATTTAACCCTAATGAAAGATCCAATTTATGTTAATATTGTATTAGGAATATCATTTGCTCTATACTCAGACATAGCTTTCTTCACTTTACAACCATTGTATTTATTCGAATTAGGGTTTTCGAAGGTAAAGAATTTAATTGACTGAAAAATACTAACAAAATAAGAGAATATTACCTAGATTCTCTGCGAAAATAATAACTTTTTTAAATAGTAACCCTAATTTGAGATATTTTACTATTCATTTATTTTTTCATATTCTATATGTATACATTAAATTTGAATTTATTTTAGGCCAGTACAGCCGAAATAATAGCAATAGGTGCTGCTGCCGATTTAGGTTCAAGAATATTTTTAGCAGGTGTAAGCGCTTTTATTACAATACCATCACGATATGTTTATTTGTCAGGATCTTTATTTACTGTTATATCACGATTTGGTAAGTATAGAATTTTGCCATTGAATTGCATAAAACTAAGTAAATATTTTGTACGAATAGAGATGGATGTGTATAAAGTGCATATATAGAAAAGTTTAAAACAAATAAATAATAAGATTTATAATAGCCTGTACTTGTATAAAAATGATGTCATTATCAACGGAACTAGCTATACGTATATATGAGTATATGTGGATGGTATATAAGATTTAAAAGCTTATAGTAAATATTTTTAAGTTAATTTAATCTTGACGCAATATTATAAAAATTTACAAATCATAAAATATGATGATAGAGTAGTGAATTAAAACTATAATAAACATATGAGAAAAAATGCGTGTAATTAAAATAAGGACGTTTCTTTACAAATTTAATAACCTTAGCCTTGAAAACACCATATTTTCTCAATAAAGCTAATATTTAATCATTTTTTCTCTCATTTTTTTTTTCAGCATTTTTACTTGTATTCGATTATACTGGCATGGCAGTAATAACAGCTATAATGGGTTTTTTAAGAACATGGATTCATGTTACATTGCCTTTGGTTTTTGGTGAATATTTACCGAAAGAAAGGTAATTTTATATTTATATTTGAGGAGAAGAAGTTCTTTTATACCAAATCTTTTTTTTAGATTCCCATCCGGTTACGGATTATTCATGTTCTTACAAGGAAATATTACATTTTTAATTGGTCCTTTTGTTGGTTATATCCGTGATGTTACACACAGTTATCCAATAACATTTCATTGTTTGAATTTCTTTATGGCTGCATGTGCAGTACCATGGCTTATTGAAATTGCAATTATAAAGCTTAAAAAGAAGGCGACAACAGTTTGATGAAATTGACTTTTTTTTCTTATTTTTGAAAGGAGCGAATGTGATAAATTTTTATTTAATAAAAATTTAATTAAAAAATATTTAAAAGCTAATTTCTTAAAAATGTACCATATACGAGTATATCTAGCATAGTCCACAGACAGCAATATATTAAAATAACTAGACTGGTTTTATAAAAGAGGTTAAAAATAGAGATCATCAACTAAATAGGAATTCCGATCGCATTGTATTTTATTAACTATGCTATCCATACTTTAATCAATATTAATCGCGCGAATAGATCTCTCATTCATATTTTAAATAATCAATGCCAGCAGTTTTTCGTTCATTAGAATCATTAAAATTAATTTTTTATTTGAAAAACATCCTATGTAAATTTTCAATAAAAGGGAAAAAAAAAATTTTATTTATTGCTTAATCATAATATATTAATATAGAAAAAAATCCCCATCTTAAGACAATTTGGAGCACTATTCAAAAACGACAAAAAATTTCAGATATACATTAATAAAATTTTAAATATATACATACATATGCATGAGCATGTCTGTGTATTTACAGAAATATTTCAATTTAATTTCTAAATAATTAAACTGCAATACGTTGTCTTGGTTCTAATTGAATTCTAAATCCATCAGTTCTCTTTAAAATAATATCAGCCTGAAGTTTATATTCAGATTCAGGAACATTTGAATGGATTTTGTAGTTACGAAGAATTGTTGATAATAAAACTTTAAGTTTTAACATAGCATATTTGCGACCTAAAAATATTCAAAATTAAAATTCATCAATTTAAAATTTTTTAAAATTTTAAATAAAAACATACCAACGCAACTTCTTGGTCCAGCACTGAATGGTATAAAACTATAATAATGTCTATTTGCTGAATTTTCTGGTAAGAAATTGTCAGGATTAAAAACATCTGGATTTGGATAAATGTCTGGACGACGATGAATTTTAAATTGTACTACAACAACGGTAGCACCCTTTGGAATAACATAGTTTTCAGATGCCAATTTAATATCTTCATTAACATGACGTGCAATAACTGGTACTGGTGGATACATTCTTAATGATTCCATAATAACACGTTCTAAATATTTCATTTCTAAGGTATCATTGAATGTACATGGTCTATCAGAATCACCAAAGATGCTATAAAGTTCTTTATAAACTTTGTCTTGGATATCTTTATGAATACCCAAAAGACATAAAGTGAAACTGGAAGCAGCTGCGGTTGTATCGTGACCCTTAAATAATTTAAATATAAAAATAAAAAAAAATTAATTGAAATTATAACGAATGCAAAAATAAATAAAAATTATTCAACTTAAAATAACGTAAGAGAGCTAAAAGATCCAATTCATAGACAAAGTGACCTTTTTGTACTTGCTTTCTAATTTTAAATTGAAATTTGCACGCATGAATATTGGAGTAAATTTCTTACTTACTTCAAACATAATTGTGTTTACTTCATCCTTAATTTCATCATCAGTTAAATTTGCACCGCCTTTAGCAGTTTCAATCATCAAGTCCAAGAAGGCTAAACGACGTTTCTCTCCTTTTGAATTTAAAAAAAAAATAGAAAAAAACAATATGAAGACGCAATTAAATGTTGAACAAAAGACTCAAGCGTTTTTACGCTCAATTTTAAATTAAAATTCACCTGTCAAAAATTGATTTCTCTTTGACAAGACAACCGTAGAGTGAGATAATTCAAAAAAAAAATCGAATAGAACAAAATATCGATTTCAATTCTGAATTTTCTCTTTATCTCACTTTCTTTTTCACTTACTTTTAAATAACAAGCATTGATCGCGTTTACAACTTACCAACATCATTTTCATCAATATCATCTAAATCGTCTCTTAATCCCTTAGCTTCGGTTTTCTTATTTTCAGATTTATTTGATGATTCATCCATATAATCATGTTTAATAATATCATGTAAAGATGGTGTTGGCACACTTCCATCCTTATATAATTTATCATAATTTTCATTTTTATGTTTAATAACACGTTTCGTTAATCCATGGATAATTCCCAATAATTTTTCTTCATAATTTCTTAATGATGTCTTATTATAGAATGTATCCCAACGATATAGAATATTGTATGTACGTTTATGAATAATATCACACATTTTCATAACAGCCATTGCATATTCATAACCTTGATTATTTTGTGCTGTTCTTTTTGTACCCATTGCTGTTTCTAATAAAATATCAACTGTTGCTTCACTCATATAATCATGAACATCAAAATCTTTTCCAGTATTTAATTCTTTTTTCAAACGGTTAACAACATTTGTAGAATTTTCATAAAATGTTCCAATAAAACTTTTCAATACATTTTGATGGAATGTTGGTGCAATCATTTTACGATGACGACGCCAAAAATCACCTGAACTAATTAATAAACCATTACCTAACCATGGTTTAAAGAAACGATATTCTTCTGATTTATCTAAATGTGTATTACTACTTAATATAATTTCAACATCACGTGGATCAGTTAAAAATACAAGTAATTTTGAGCCGAGCCATGCTTTTGATGAATTTCCAAAATTTTTACTCAATTTCAATGCCATTTCCAAAATTTCTATTTTTGAAATAAAAGTTAATTAATTTTGAAATTAAAGAAAAGATTAAATATGAGGAATTTAATAATATTAAAATTTTCAATCAAATATCAGGTATAAATTAAAATCTTTCATTGTAAGTTAGATTTCGGACGAATTTTATAAATGAATTCCATAAGGTCCAATAAGTCCTACATTATGTGATTTGTCCGATTTTTAAATGAAAAGCTAAATAAGCTTTAGATATCTATTAAACAGGATCAGGTTCAACTTTCAGTCTTTTAATATTACAATACGAAGTTTCCTTGCAGTAAGTGTATTTTTTTTTTTGAGTGCAATAATTGATCGAAAACTAATAATTGAAAACTTATTTTAAAAACTCACCATTATGAGTCTTTCCAACAACTAAATGTGCATTTCCAATAAATGGTAATGAAGTTGGTCCTGGAATAGCATTACCCATTTTAACAAAACGTTTATTTTGTTGCCACCAATAAACGGCAACTAATGATGCAATTGTGGTAACTAATCCCAGAAAAATTGGAGAATAGAATCCCATTTTTGCAGATGATTCAAGAGCTTCGACAGCCATGATTTCTTTTTTGTTCAACACAGATTAATAAAAAAAATGTTTTCCACAAATTTATAGAAAATAAAAAAAAAAATATTAATTCGAATTTAATCCTTTTTTTTGTAATTATAAAACGATCGGGCGATTTTATTTTACACTCGACGGCTCTTTAATTACAACTGAACTTAATTTTAATATTTTTCAGCTTTTAAATAGATTTTCTTGCAATAGCAATGACCTATAGTTTGAACTAAGAATTAATTTTAAAAAAAAAACCAAAGCAATAACAACGAAAATTTCATATTCATTGTGAATATTTTATTATTTTGTTTTTGTATTCTATATTTAAAGGTATTATAAATGATATAAAAGTTCACCTTATTAGCATATTATTTTTAATACACTTTCTATACAAATGGAAGAAATTCTCTATTACTAACAATTTCTGTATGAAACTGAACAATATTCTTACTGATAAATCATTTGAAATTAACGAAAATTCATTAAAATTCAAATATCTTAAAATATTTTTGCAATATATTTTTATTTTTGAGGATCAATGTATCACCTTAAACCTTAATTATACAAAAAATATGTTGTCTACAAACTATGAAACACTTGTGATGTTTCATTATATTTATACAGTAGAGATGAGAAAAAACAACATATACATACAATTTCAATTCAAAACTGTTATACATTTCCATTAATAAAAATTCATACATATGAATCAGAAATAGTCTTCATAAATTGGGCAAAAGGAACCTTTCTCATATTTTATGCAATTTAAATTTGTTTCTCAAGCATTCAATTGTATACATAGTGCATAAAAACAAGCATAACATTCGAACAGTTAAGGTTTCGATAAATTGAACTCTAAATTTGCAAATAAAACAATCTTGTGAGAGCGAGCATAAATCCATAATTTGAGAGATTTTTTGTAAAATACCTTTAACACCATTTTTGAATTTAAAATTTTTGTTATTTTAAAAGTTTCATTGCGTGCTTATATCTTTGACGAAATATGCATTGGCATTATAAATATTATTTTTTAAGTAGTAAATAGGAAATTGTATAAATAAGAATAAATCAAGTGTTATTATATTTCCAAATTTCACTGTAAATTTTCAAAAAAAAATTGCAAATAACCTTCAGAAGAATTTTTTTTTTTGTTATTTAAGCACGCAGTTACAAAAGGTATAAAATAAGAAATTCGAAGGGAAAAAAAAGTGGCTAAGGACCAAAAAATTTTGAAATATTAGAATGAAATTGAGGAAGTAAAAGCATTGACATTCAATCTGCAGGTTAGGTTAGGTTTACGTGGTTTCCCCATAGCTACATTTAGGCTATTTATGATGATTGTTGTACTGCCGAAACCCCCTCCATTAGAACTACAGCGTGTTTTTCAGAAACCGTACTTTGACTCTAAAGGAAGAGCATTTTATTTATAAATAAGCTAATATATTGAATGCGTTTGTTCAATAATTTATTAAATTAATTTCAATTTAAAAAGAAAATTATAAAAATCAAATATTAAATTTACATACATATGCATATGAAGAAACGTGAAATCCAACTTTGAACCGCCTTGAACTATAAAAATTTTGCTAGTTTGTTATATTTTCTTTTTTCTTTTTGAATTTTACGTCATTTTTATAAAATTTTAATTTTTTTTTTCAAATTAATATTTGTACATAATTTTTAATTTTTATAAATCCCTTTTAATTAATGCTTATCACATGTTTTTTTTAAAAACCTAAAGAAAAGCTTTTGCCAATTGGACGATATTGTTTGCACTTACTTTCCTTTTAATTAAAATATATTGAAAATATTTAACAATTTTAATATTAAAAGTACTTTTATATTTCCTCAGTAAACATAAAGTACATAATATGTAGATTGCAGATTTGTAGATTTGTACATCAGAGGAAACAGTGGCCCCCGACCACGTGTAAGGATCAATTGTGCGCCCCTCTCTGAATGCGGGACGTGCATGTGTGTAGGTACATATTGGGTTGTAAATTGCAAAATTTCAGTTTAATAATCAAATATAATTAATTATATTTAGAATATTTATTAAATGTAAATCACAAATATTATATTCATTACAAGAATTTTGTAATAAACTACAGTCGTTGAATTTAAACGCACATTGAATTGGTTCTTACTTACGCGTGTTTGTATTTTACAGTACAGAAGCAAGTTGGCTGAAAATATATAGTATTTAGTAGCTTACTACTTTACAGTTTAGTATTCAAAAGCTAAACAATCGCACAAAGTTCAATAATCTATTAATCTTCACTTACCAGCTGCCGTATTTTTTGTGTTAAAATAAGATTTATATATACTTCAGTAAGCTTTATGCTTTATGCTTTAAAACGTTTATGCTAAACTTTACGAGAATTAAATATTTCGTACAAATTCCAGTAGGTATAATATGCTCAATTCTGGATTCCATTCGTTTTAGTTGAAAATATTTAAAAATTTTGATCTAACATAGTTAAGGAATTTCGGTATCTGTACTTACTTAATACACAAAATTATTACACCTTTGTTTTGAAATTAAAAAGCCAAACTTACAATTATTTTATTTTCTATATAAAAAAGTGTTCTATTTTGATACTAATTAAAGACCTATTCTTCTCATAAATCAATCAATAAATATATAAAGGAGAGCACAAAAGAATAAAATGAAGAAGACAATATTTTTTTTTTCGTATTCTTAAGTAAAAACTAAGTTATAAAACTATCATTAAAACTCAATTTATTGACAATTGTGTTGAAGATCTATATTCAAAGAATTCAATAAAAAATTAAAATTTACAACTTGCTTGAATTTCCACTGCAATTGTAACGCATCATAAGAAAATTCATAGTTTTAAAATAATATCCTTTTTTTTTGTTCTCTCAATTGTATAATAAACACTATTCTCTTATATAATAATATATTGAGCAATTTAAATAGGACTTTAAGTACCTCTAATAAAATCTAGGAATATAAATTGAAAATACAAAAAAATTTATTATTCCTTGTCTTTACTTAACGCCGCACTATGTCCATTTCATATTTTTTCAATCGAAAAGTCATATAGGTACTTCGAATCTTTCAATTAAAAAAAAAATTGATCTGCCAAAACAGTTTTGAAAAAAATCTTTAAAAAAAAAATATCAAGATTTTGGGTACTAATTTTATTGCAGTACCTTTTTCTTCTTCGTATATATTCCAATAAATTTTTATTTACAATTTAGACCAAACTGATATTATCTATTTGGTTCTAGGTCTCAATTGAAAATATTGTCTTTTTTTAGAACTAAAATTTACTTGAATTAAAATTAAGACTTAAAATTATTCTTTTATTTGATTTTTAGTTCACACGATTCTTATTATCTACGAATATAATATTCTCATCAATTTTAACATACTAACTACTGAATATAAAAAGCGGAATCAAATACAATTTTATTTTTTTGGGTTACCATTAAAATTTTGAAGTGTTTGCATAGGCAAAATATTACTTAAAAAAAAAAAATATTTAATTTTTTTGAAGCGTTTAAACTTCCTGTCTTTAACGTGTTGTTGATTTGCTCTAATGAAGGTTTTATTCTATATTTGGGATCACCATTTTTTTTTTGCTGTAGAAATAGTATAAAATTTCATACTATGTGTACAAATAATTCTAGTTTTTTTTTCACTTTAAACTTCTTCTTCTTGTTCTGCATTTTGATGAGAAAACAATAAAAATATTAATTTTAAAAATTTAATGACAATATGTTGTAATGAAAAATTTATGAATGAAAATTATTTGGAATTATAGAAGTTGTCTGGTGCCATTAGAAAGTTTGGAACGAATTCTCACAAAATTTTAATTTAATAAAATTTGAAGCAGTACTATACCAACAGTCATTCATAACTCGAACTACGCTCTAAATCGGATTATGAGTAATTTAGTGTTTAAGTATTCCAGGCATGAATTATATTCCAAAATTTGATCTGTAATCTGGAAAATTTACGGTGATATTAAAAGAACTACAAGTGTTTTTTATAATTCAAGTTATAATTCATTTAATATTTAAGTATATTTGAAAATGAAGAAATACTGTTTTATTCTACTTGAAAACTACCTCTAAAAACTCATATCATTAAGAAATAAAAGCAGTTTTTTGGTTGTAATATTGCTACTGTCTGAATTAAGTTTTTTTGCAAATATCAGATTTGAAATATCAAATTCTAAGTTGATATAGAAATAAATACTAGATTATCAAAATTACAATTTAGATTACCTATGTATTTACAATTTACAAAATAATTATTCCTAAACAAATTATACAAGTAAAAAACAGGATATTCATGCTTATTCCATTTATGTTATACGCTTGCTTAAATCATCTTTAATTTAAATCTACGATATTAAATTAATCTTAATTAATTGGTCTGGTGTATAAATGATCCCACAAGTAAAAATATATTAAATTTAAAAAAAAATCATTTAAAAATTATACAATATTCCTGCACGAACCTGTGAATTTAATTTATTTTGATTGAAATTAAATAAAAGACCAAAATTTATATTTGATTTTTTTTCAATTAATTTTTTGTTTTGTTTGCTTTTTTTTCAATCAATTTTAATTATCATTTTGTTTTCTTTTCATTTAAAGTACATATTAGTAAAATATTATAACATTTTATAATTCTAATTTTAATAGTTAAGTATTACAATTTATTTCTAAGTACATTATAAATTTATGAAAATTATAATATTATTTTTCTTTTGTTGTGTTTGTGTATATACGCAAGTTCACATAAATTTTATTTTAATTTTATAAATTCTTTTCTAAACTTTAAGATGTCCAAAATTAATTTATTTATTATACATAGTTACTTATAATTTGAATATTGGTTCTGTAAATCATTGGTAATTGTAAATAATTAGGTGGTTATCGTTAAATGGAAAACTATGGTAAGTATATGTATGTATGTAAGTTTGATCAAAATTTTTGAAAATTTAATTTATAATATTATATTAATTTTTAATTTATATTTTCTGTTTTATTTTGATCTAATATTTTATTTTTTTACTTTTTTGACATTTTTATTATTGTTTTAATTGTATTTGATTCAGTCATTAAGTTTCAGTTAATAAAATATATTTAATATTTAAACAACTATTTTGAAAGCACCCCGCTCAGGATAATCATTAATAGTATTTTACATTGATTTGCTATTATATTTTATAAATTAAGATCTACTTTTCATAGATTTAATACTTTGAAATCGAATAATCAAAATATGCTTGACTAACAAATTATAAAAATATTCTTGGGTAAAAATTATATTAAATATTCAATAATTGAAGGCATTTAAAAATTATCTGCTATATTTGAGATGATTTAAATTATAAATGAAATATTAAATGTGAATTAAATGTAAAATAAAATTATTTTAAATATTCAGAAAAGGCTCTAAAATTTCGTGATTTTACAAAACTTTCATTAAATTCTTCAAAATAGTTTGTTTCTTTTTAAAAAATTTTTACATTTATTATTGTTTTACCTGTGTATTTATATTCAGACTCTTAAATTTATTTCAGTTTTTCAATATTTAAGTTATAAATTTATTTTGAATATGTAGTTCTTTAAATAACAAAATCTTTAAAGTAACATTATGTTTTAAGACAAATATTTTATTCATTTAGAAAATATTATAAAGAAAATTAGAAATGTACGTATGTATTTTAAAACATGCTTAAAATTATTTAAGTAACTTTATTTTATATAAGTATGTAGTAAGATTTTTTTCAATTAAATTTCATATCTATTTTCTAATTTAGAAATAGAACTAACAAGTATGTAGTATTTTAAGTAGAATTTACTTTTTAAATTAATACTTCTTTAGTTTCTTTATTGATTTCTTTAAGTACCTGAATTTTCTTATTTTAAATTTCTAATTTTTTAGAGAATTGTGTTTCAAAAAAGAATATAATTAAGGATAAATTCATTCAAGCAAATTTTGTATTACAAATATTTATCAAATCAAAATAATAATTAAAATTCCAATCATGAAACAAAATATTTAGACTGGCCATAGATTACTATCTAAATGAATTCAACCTCAATCTTGATTTATAACAAAAATCACTTATTTTTCAAGCCCGTTCATTTTTTTTTTAAATATTTATTATTTTTAAATTATTTTTAAGAAATAATTAAGCCATTAAACATGATCATCATTATCATAATTGATTTTTATTAAACAAAAAGCATGATATTGAAAATGTTTTCAAAAATTAATTCTACATTTTATATGAAATTTTATAGTATCGTACGTTTTAGATAAATTGTAATTGAACAGGCATGAATTCTATAAACATTTATTTTATTTTGTTTGTATTTTTATATATTAGTATAGATAAATATTTTAAATAACTTTTTCTTTTATTAAGGAATATAGTTCATAGGTTCTTTTTAAACTCTTCTTTTAGGTTTTTGAAATCTTTCATCTATTTTTATCACATTCTATATATTTTCTTTACATCAATATATTATTCATTATATTAAAAATATTTTTTTTATATCTTTTACTAGTTTTCATAACTAGTTTTAAATTAATAAATTTTTTTTTAAAGCTAATAACTTATAAGTACATAATTTAATTAATTTTATTTTGTTCTACAAATATTTTTGTGTTTTCTATAATATAAAATTTAATTAATTATTAATCTAATAATTAAAATATTATTCTTCTTTTGTTTTATTTTAATCTTAGATTATCAATTCAATTAATTTAAATGTTACGTTGATACCATAACTTCTTGATCTTTGGCTTTTCCTTTACTTCTAAAATATTGAATAGAGTATTCGATTGACCATGCAATTGCACATGTATATATACAACAGCTTTGCACATGAATACAAATTGGAAAACTATTTGTTATGTCACGTATTGCACCTAAAATAAAGTAAAAAATAATATTAGTATTATAAATGAATTTAAGATAAAATAATTGCTCTTTATCATATCGGAAACTGAGGATAAATTAAGGGTGGTGCTTATTTTTACTGCAAAATAACGTTTTGAAAACAATTTAAGATAAGAACAAGTAAAAGAAAACTTATCTTCCAAGAAATTTAAATAATTTAAATTTAAACAAAAATAGAATGTTTCAATTCAAAGTATCCTTAATATTTACAAATTCATAATACAATATCAAAAAAGTTCCACAATGTGGAATGTGTTATTCACTCAAAAACTTATTATAAATAATTTTTGCATATATTTAGACCAAATATAATTTTTATATTTCTATTATTTAGTTTAGACACAAACCGACATAATATGCACGTTTAAAAATAATTAGTACATTGATTTAGTACATTAAGTTCAAAAAAAGTAAAATTTACTTTCAGAGACTTCACTAAAAACTATTTTTTTTATTAAATCGTTATCATTATTTCGAATGAATATTAGTGTATAGTTTGCTTGTTCTATGTTTGCATTCTTATGCCATGTTTAACTTTGTGTACTACAAATACCACACTTATATGTATGTAAAAAATAGGAAATTTATTAGAAAAATATTTCCCAATATTTTTGTCCTTCTTATAACGTTGCATACATTCAGGATTACGAATTTTTTTCGATATTTTTTACAGAATGCGAATTTTAGTTTAATATATCAGCACTTCGTGTTTAGTTAAAAATTATCAAAATTATTAATTAATTAAAAATAACAATTTCAAAATTATCAAAATGTAAAATTACCTATCAAAGGTCCAAAGCAAACAACAAATATTGCTTTTCCTACTAAATGCCAACCAAATGCTGAAGGTAATTTCTCTAGCGAACAATACTCAGAAACAGTTAAAGTAAAATTACTTAAAGCAATTCCTCTAAAAAATCCAGCAATAGATAACCATATGATTAAAGGTGTCCATTCAGTTTGCTCTGCAACAACTATAAAATAAAATTATATTGCTTTAGCAAAAGTGCAAAATTTTCTAAATAAATTCAACTTACTTGACCTAGTAATAGCAACAAAAACGATTGATACTAAAAATACAGTTCTCTTTCTTATAGTAGTTTTATCAAATAACGGTGGTAAAATTATTCTTGCCAGAATATCAGTTACTGCAGTTATTGATAAACAAAAAGCAACATCACCTTTATCATATCCAAGATTTGCAAAGAAAAATGGTGTCACCATTTTAAAATTCATTTCAGCAACATAAAATATTGACAGACCAAAAAGAAGATTTAAGAATATTTTATCACGTAATAGATCAATGTCCATAAGATCAGCAAAACGTCTCCAAAATCCAGGCTTTGGTTGTGGTATAATCTCCGGTAATTTTTCCGTTTCAATTGGTTTCATTTTAATAAAAGAATCTGCTTTACTCATACCAGTACCAAATGGTATACCTAACTGTGTGCTTACACGACGGAATTCTTTTTCATATTTTTCAAGTTCATCGTCTCCCGTGTTTATGTGCACTTGAACAATACTACCTCCAAAATCTAATAATGACAAATTTGACGTAACTGATAGTTTCCGATTTCTAATCTGCTGCGTTACATCAGGATTTGATAAAGCATCAGCACCAGCAGCTGATTGTACACCACCTAAAGACATTATACGTGGAAATGTTGGCCGTTTTGGTATACCCATTCTTGTACCATTGAACATTGTACTCATTGCAACTTCAGAATAATTTTTTCTCATATTATTTTGCATATTATTGTGTTTATTAAATAAAAGCGTATTTAATTCAGGTAAAGCATCTTCTTCATCCTCATTACCGTTACCAACAGTTAACAATTTACCATTACCATTTGCTGGTATATTGTTGCCGTTCAATTCATTTTCCTTCTGTTGTTCTTGCTTATTGTCCTTTTCATGACCATTTTGTTGATCTTCTTGTTCCTTTTTTGGTTTTTCACTAAGAAGTGGTTCAGGTTCAATAATTTCTGGTACTGGCATTAATTCAACATCAATTACTTCTTCTTTCATATGCCATTTAACTGGCTGTAAGAGCATTGAACCGACTAGAGCATGAAAACTTATTGAAGATATTATTAATACTGCTCCTCTAAATCCGTACGCATCTAATAATATTCGTACAAATTGTGGTATAACAAGCATACCGAGTGCTGTTCCAGCCATTGATAAACCAACAGCTTGACCTCGTTTATGTTTAAAATAATGATTGAGTGCTACAAATGCAGCTGATGTTGATAATCCAACTCCAATACCATTAATTACACTAAAAGTAGCTAATATATGAGCCATACTATTTGCTGGTGTTGTACATGCTAATCCAATCCAACAAAATAATGATCCAGCTACCGCTACTTTACGATATGAAAATTCCTTTAACAGTGGTCCAACTAATAAACCCGAAAAATTCATACATACATCCAAGGCACTTATAATCACAGCAGCTCCAGTTGTCCCAACTTCAAGATCACGCAATAAATCACCAAAAAGTAAACCAAATGATGGCTCAAGAGATCTAGTGGCAAGCTAAAGAATAAAACAAAAAAATGGATTTTATCAGTATTTTTAATTTAAACGTAAACAACGCTATAAGAATGTTAATAATTTTTGTAATTTATTAGAATCTCTTCCTAAAATATTTAATTTTAAGATTTAAAGTATCTTAAAACACACACATTATTCAAAATGTTCAATATTCGAATTAAATCACGTCGAGTTATAAACGTAAAGAACGTTTTTTTAAATTTTTTTAAATTTCGCATACTTGAAAGCTTATTCTCGTTCATGTAAACGTAGTGCTGATAATCATTCTAGTGAGTATATCTAAGAATGTGATTAATTAGAATAGATTCGATATGATTCAGAATAAAATAATTTCAATTCAATTGCCTTACACAATAACCTATTTTATTTCCAAACAATTTCATCCAAAAATCACCTCAAAATAATATTATTCAATAATTACTTAATTTCTACCGAGAAATATGAAAAGATAAAATTTGTATTTTATGACCATTATTATAATAATAATTAACGATTAGATTAAAATTAACAAAATATTCTTAAGTACAATAATAAATTGATAAATTACGTTTCAGAATAAAATAATTCGGATAAATTATCGAATCTAAAATCAAACGTAAAAAAAATTATCAATAATATTTTTTGGAGATACCAGAAGAATCTGAGATAGGAAACAGCTATGTAGAATTTTTTTCATTAAATGTATTGTTGAAAAATTGTCACAAAAATCTCTATTGTTATACGACAATGAAAATTAAAAATTCATTATTTAGTTTTCATAAAGTAAAAAATTGAACAATAATGTATACATACGTGTATGTGTGACGTGCAACGATATTTGAATATATCAACAAATACTTTCTGTATTCCTCATCAAAATTCGCCGACTTATGAAGCACACGAACATACAGCAAATATTTTTTGTCAAATAACATAAGTAACTGATTCAATAGGGCTGCAGATCTATATTGAATTCAGTAATTTGTTTGTAATTTTATTTTTAATTTGATCGAAATTGAACCACTTACGCAAAAATAATGTTGGAAGAATTTTGGCAGGTAGTAAAGTTTCAAGAATAAAAATCGGAACATATAATAAAGTAGTAAACAAAGAACAGTGTTGTCGTTTTTCACCCTTCCTATGTTAATTTAACTGCAAGCAAGTTTGAGTTGAATTGAGTTAAATGTGTATATTTACACTATTATGCAAGTTAACGAGGGATCAAATAGCGGGCATGTTAAAACAAGTTCAAACATGTTTCATCAGACATATTTCATCGTGAGAATTCTTCTACGCTGATTATTAATATTAAAACATGTTCAAATACGTTTCCAGCAAACATCATATTTCAGCATGAGAATTTCTTAACGCAAAAATATGTTCCCACAAAAAGTGCTGACGACATGTCTACGCTGTACTGTGAGAAATTTTTAGTTAGGAAAATAACATAAAATTAAATTTGCTAAATAAGCAAATTTTATACTATAAATTAGGTAACATTTAGATTAAGAATTTAGTCTTAGATAGTCTTAGACATTAATTGAACTAAGCTTTAAAGTCTTAGAATAGTCTTAAAATTTAATTGTAAAGTTATATTAAATTTTAACCTAGTGTTGTGAAATAAAACGTATTGTAAAAGTAATCTTAAAGAAATAAAACGTATTATAAAAGTAATTTTAAAATCGAAATAAAATTATTTTTTTTTAAACGAATTTTGACACAAAATTCGTAACTGGCGCCCGAGCAGGGACAGGTCGTAACAATAAGGTTCTACAAGTGAAGACAAGGTTAAATAACCCGTCATAAGTGAGCGTAACTCGTACCGCAGTAGGCCGATAGTAAATCTCGAACACTAACAGCCAAAAAGGAACAATACGGTGCCTCCAGTAGAAATCTGCGACCTGCGAACAAAGCACAACACAATCATCTGAGACTCCTGAAGTAACCTTCAGTAACACGGGAACAATAGGACATGCGAACCCGCGCTTTAATAGTCCTCATAATACTAAAGTAAGAAAATTTTTTTAAAAAAAAGGAAAATTAAACAATTTAAAAGAAAAACGATTAACAATTCTAATTTAAATAAAAATTAATTAAATATAAAAACCAATAAAAAATTGAAATAAACTTAATAATTAAAAATTAAAAACTTAAATAAAAGTAAAAAAAAAAAAATTTAAATTAAATTAAAAAAAACTTAACCAAAAATTAAACTAAAATTAAATTAATATAAATAACGGTGAATTAAATAAATTAAGAAATCAAAATTAATTTGACTACTAAAATTTAAAACGAAAACTAATAAACGAAAAAAGTAAAGGTAGCAATACCACCAATACACGTAAAACATAGAAACCCTATTACTGGAGAACGAGAGTTGATACGAATAATCAAAATCGAACTATTGTTCAATAAAAAAATTTTTACAAATTCAAAGGCTTAAAAATAAAAAATATAAGAGTATAAAATGGAAGCTCTAACCACAGCAATCAATAATTTAACGGGAATAGTGAACCGGCAAATAGAACAAATCAAAAGTTTAGAACAACGTATCGTAAATCTGGAACATTCTGCAACGGGTAGTGACTTAACACAAGAGCAAGAAGGTTTTATGAAAAGGCTGGAGCAACGGATTCAACATTTAGAATTTTCTGGATCTAGTGGTAATCAAACACAAAGCCAACAAATTCTAGCAACGCCAAAAACCGTTGACGAACTCAAAGAAATAAGCAGACTCCCAGACAGAGTGAAGGAGCTCCAATATTTCGATGGTGATCCAGTACAATATATCTCTTGGGTGCACGCCGTAGAAAGCATACTAAAAGATTATGAAATCGTTAAAGAAAGACCCATATACCGGACTATTTTACAAAGCATCAGGCAGAAAATCAGAGGCAAGGCTGATCTGGCCTTGATATCGTATAACATCTATGACGAAGACTGGTTAACAATCAAGGAATGCTTGTCGATGCATTACGCCGATAAAAGAGATGTGCGTACCCTCGAGCACCAACTGTTCATGCTTAAACAAGGCAACTCTAGCATAGATTCATTTTACGCTACCGTCAATCATCAATTTTCACTCATCGTGAATAAATTAAAAACGGAAACCTACAATGCTGAAACAATTGCTGTGCTTGTCGAGACATACAGAAATAAAACATTGGACGTCTTTATACGAGGTTTAAATGGTGAATTAGCAAAAATGTTAATGATTCAGAGGCCTCAAACACTGCCAGAGGCGTATGCGTTTTGCCTGGAGATGCAGAATTTAAATCTTAGGAACATAACAGTGCACCAAAAAAATAACAATAATCGAGTTTCGGTACCTATCAATAACATAAGCAGCAAACCAAGAATCCCTATGCCGTTCAGACCATACCAAGATGGTTTACGTAATCCGTATCAGCAAAGTTTCCCACAACGTCACCCAATAGGTGGTAACCAACCCCAACAACAAAATTACCAACAAAATAATCGCTACGCACCTCCAAGACCAACATATCCGAAACCACCTACACCGATGGATGTTGATCCATCGCTACATAGCAAGAGAGTCAACTATATAAACCGGCCAAGAAACAACGAGCCTGAATCCAAGCAACGGCTATTCAACCTGGAGCAGGAAGAAAATGACGATTCTAATCAAGAAACACCAGAAGTAGATGAATATCAGGAATATGAATTTGATGAAGAAAAAGAAGATGATCCGCAAGAGATAAATTTTACGAGCGGAGCCTCTCTAGCGTTCCTTACCTAGAGTACCATACCAGGAACAATGATATCCTAAAGTTCCTAGTTGATACGGGAGCCAATAAAAACTTCATCAGACCCGAGCTTGCTGTCGACACAAAACCAACCAACAAACCATTTAAAATTCGTTCTGCGGGAGGTGATGTTCAAATTACAGAAAAAATGAACGCCAAATTCTTCAAATGCATCGGTAATAATAGTACCTTGGAATTTTTCGTCCTGCCAGGATTAAAATCGTTCGACGGTATTTTGGGCGACGATACATTGAAAGCCTTGGAAGCCGTCATAGACAGAAAGAACAACCTAATTACGATAAAACCTGGTATTACTATACCTCTTAAGGAAAAAACATCAGTTCAAGTCAATAACATTGAAATCAAGGCAGACCATTTGTCTGAAGAACTAAAGGGACGAATCTCAGAAATTATCAGCAAGTATAGCAAGATTTTTGGGCCAATTAATGATAGCGAAATTATAGACACGGAAGTAAGGGCAGAGATCAAAACATCGAATGAAGAACCAATTTACACCAAACAATACCCGTATCCCAGCAACATGAGAGGAGAGGTCGAAGAGCAAATAGGGAATTTACTAAAAGATGGTATCATCCGACCATCAAAGAGTCCTTACAACTCTCCAATTTGGATAGTTTCCAAGAAACCAGATGCCTCAGGAACTAAGAAATACCGAATGGTGATCGACTTCAAAAGATTAAATGCTGTAACCATTCCAGACACGTACCCGATTCCCGACATCACCAACACGCTTTCAAGTTTGGGAAAAGCTAGGTTTTTTACAACTATTGACCTCACATCCGGGTTCCACCAAATCAAAATGTCGGAAAAAGATATACCCAAAACAGCATTCTCCACTATGAATGGGAAGTACGAGTTTACTCGACTACCCTTTGGCTTGAGGAATGCACCGGCCATATTCCAGCGAATGATAGACGACGTGCTAAAGCAACACATAGGAAAGCGCTGCTACGTCTATATAGACGATGTCATCATTTTTGGAGAAACCGAAGAACAACATCTAACAAATATCGAGGAAGTGTTCTCTACATTGGAAAAGGCAAATCTAAGGGTTAACCTGGAAAAAACCCATTTTTTCAAGACAGAAGTGGAATTTTTGGGACACCTGATTACTCACGAAGGAATAAAACCGGATCCCAAAAAGGTCGAAGCCATCAGACAAATTAAACCACCAACAAATCTTAAAGAACTCAAGTCATTCCTAGGACTAACATC